ACTAATTAGGCAGCAATTCGTATGGATTTGTTTACGATTGCATCTCTGTCATTCCTGTAACTATTACTTAGCAAATACACAAATATTGGTTTATGAATGAATGAAAATGGGGACCAGCAGATGGCATAGTAGTTATGTTGCTGGACTCTCATGGAGTTGACCACAGTTTGAGTCCTGGACCCTGCAGCTTAAAACTCACACAGGGCACCTGTGTGTGCATGTACAAAATCCTAAGAAGAGACTGAAGGATAAGAGATTGCAATGTGGCCATCCCCTCCTGTGGCGGGGGGGGAGGACTGATTTCTCACTTTCTGTCTCTCTGTCTCTCCCTGGTGAGTGCACATGCCCAATAGCAAAAATCTCTCTAAAAAAATAAAAAGAATGAATGAAATTAAGTTATTTCTTTAAAAAGTCAGGTACTTATTTTGTTCCTTTGTATTAATATACTATGTATTTGAGTTGTTATTAGTTTGCTGGATTACTCTGATAGCATACCTGTGAGAGTCAGGCCATGACTTGATCAATTTCATAATTCTGAAGATTTCCATTTATGAACTCTAGAATATTCACTGGTGATAGAAATTTTCTGCATGAAATATGAATGTGTCAACATTCAGCTCCAAATTACACAGTGTCATCCAGGACTATGAGCTCGTAATTGAGAAGTAATTTGGGGCTTAGCCACATGGTGGTCTGTCCACTAGTCCCCCAGAGAGCGAGGCAGAGTGTAGTGAACATCTGTGCAAATACTGGTTAATCTGGCTAATGTCTTCAAATTCTAGGATATGAAGTAAGAGCTTTTTCTCTGCTTGAGTTGGAGAGAAGTCTTCCCATTTCCTTTTGTATATTTCATAAATGAGTCTTAATAATTCTAAGAAGCTGAGCACACTGGGATGTGTAAGTGAATATGCATGAGGAGTGCCTAAGGAGAGAGACAAGAGGCAGAAACACACACAGAAACGAAGACGAGAGACAGAGAGAAAAGATGGATATTGGAGTACACAGGACCATCAAGAAGACAATCCAAAGAAAAGCAATGTTGTCTAGTTGAATGAAGTTCCCGAATCTGAGCAAGTCAATTTCGCCAAGCTACCACACAGGATACAGGAATGCTAAGTGATGTGAGGATTGATCGTCAATGTGGAAAGGTGTTTTGCACACATCTCACACTAGATGGGTTCTGAAGGAAGGATGCAAGTACAAAATTGGATAAGGACCTCTTCTGATACAAGCAGTATTAAAGTAGGATTAAGAACTTAAAACAAGGCTACTTAAAAGTAATAAGATGTGAGATAGAATCAAGAGAGGTTTTTCTCTTTCCTTTCCAGATGAACTGCAATGAAGAGGCTACATGTTTCATCGTAGAATAAACAGGGTAAATAAAATTTTAAAAACTGGAATCAAAACACAACTTTTTGTAAGCAAGTATGAACAAGATTATTTTCTATCCTTTAGAAATGAAAAATGAGATTTATTTAGGATTTCATATCACAAAATTGATATGATTCAAAAAGGACCAAAGAAAACCTAAACATCTTTATTTTGGGAGGAATTGATATGAAAATAGAGAATAGAGCAATGGTGACATCTTGAATCTTCTGTCTTTTAAGATATTACCTTAAGGACCCACAGGTGATACACCAGTTACATGGCTGACTGCGGCTCAAATACTAGACCCTGTAACTTGAAAATCATGCTGGGTGTGTGTGCGTGCATGCCCAAGATACCGGGAGGAAAATGGGAAAAGAGATTCTGACATGGCCGTCTCTCCTAGAAAATGATTTCCCACATTCCCTTTCACTGTCTCTTCCTCTCTCTTCTCGGTGAGTGCATGCACCCTAAGGCAAAAATTTCCTCCCCCAAACAAAAGATATTACCTTAAAATAGATACAGTTTTTAATTTTTTTTTCTTTTGTGTAAAACTACTGTAGCACTGGTACTACCCAACTGCAGGAAAACAATAAAAAATTCTCAGCAAAGCAGGAGAAAAAAAAATTTAATTGAAAATTTTTTAATTGAAAATGAGCTTTAATGTTTCAAATATTTGACCCCAATAATTACTTTTAAAAATATGAATAAAGCAGACCAGCCATGGGTATCGTGATTGGGGCAGCTAGATCCCACAAGGCTGAGTGAACGGTTCAAGTCCAGGACCCCGGCTGCTTGGAAAACACGCCGGATGCAAGAGAAAGAAAGAAGGGACTACAGTATGGCCATTTCCATGGGGATATGGGAAGTGCTTTCTCTCTCTTTCTCCCCCAACCCCCTGTCTTTCTCTGGCAAATACAAGTGCCCTCTGACAGATTAAAAAAAAAAAAAAACAACTTATAAATAAAAACCAAAGGTAAGCTAGGGATTAAGGCATTGCTACTAAGTATTTTTATTCAATAAATATTGAGTATGATCTTTATATGTGCAAAAAACTATATTGTTGAGAAAGAGGTAGTAGAAGGATAAATAAGGTAATATGTTTGTCTTAAAGAGCTTGAAATTATATTTGGTTATATTATATATAACCTGAAATTATACTTAATATCCTCTTATGTCCTGATATTTTTAAGAATTTTTTCACAACAAAACAAAAACTTTGGACATTTAAACCTTTAGGGCACTAGTTTTTAGGGAATTGCATTTTATTAATTATTTTAATGTTATAAAATAGAATTGGCATAACTAATAAGCTATGCTAAATGATAGAGAAATACAAACTGACATATTTCTTCTAAGAACTAGATATATACCTCATAGAAGAATGCTGTGGCATGGGACATACAACAAAAACATATAGTTTAAGATAATATAGTATAATCCCCCAATTTCTGATTATAACAGGTATGTTAATAATACATAATAAAGAATATGAATAAAATTTCATTCTAGGGACTAGCAGTTGGCGTAATGGCTATGTCGCTGGACTTCCATGAAGTCGACCACGGTTCAAATGCCAGACCCAGTGGCTTAAACTCATGCCAGGCGCATCTGCATGCATTCCTAAGATCCTGAGAGGAGCATGGAGAAGGGTTTGATTGCAGCGTGGCCATCCCCCCTAGGGGGTGATTTCTCACTTTGTCTCTCTGTCTCTCTGTGTCTTTCTGGTGAGCACACATGCCCTATAGCAAAACAAATACTTCAAAAAAAATTAATTCTATAATCATTTGATTCTCCAAAGCCTCACTGAATTAAGTAGAATAAGGCAATATGTCATTGTTTATAGTATCCCTCTTCTGATGAAATAATGGATATTCAATAAATATTTTTAAATATGGCCCAAGCATAATCAAGTATTTCTGTTAAAGGTGTTTAAAGATATTAGCTCTTAATTATTTCAATACCTTTATCTCTTTGATCACAGATTTGGTTCTTTCAAAGAAGTGACAAAACACAGCCCATTACAAATTGAAGGCACTGTTAGTTTAGGATTGGTGGACTTAAAATATGATACTACAATTTTACCCTTCTCTTCTATTCCTGTTAGGATATTTATGAATATAATTTTCTTCAGAGACATAGACTTTCCTGAGGATATGATTCTCATTTGTATTAAACTCTAAAACTCAAATGTACACATTTGGAGACTGGGTCAAAATGGTTAGAACAGTTTTATTTCTATGGCACTGTGTCAAATTTCTGAAAATATCAGCATGTTAATAAAAGCCTTAAAAGAAAATTATCTTTAAAATGAATTAAATGAACAAAGTACCTTCCAGCAATAATATAATTAACTTTTCCATATACAATACAGTCATGCTAACCTAATATAAGAAAAATACATTTAAACATAAAGCAGTTTCAGAGCAAGCAGATGGCATGGTGTTAAAGTGCTGGATTCCACATGGCTAACTCTACAGTTCAAGTCTTCAACCCAGCAGCTTAAAAAAATAAAGCTAACTGGGGCCAGCAGGGGGCATCCTATAAGGTACTGGACTCCCACATGACTGATCACTGTTCGAGTCCTGGACCCAGTAGCTTGAAATTCATGTTGGGTGCATGTGTATGCATGCCCCAAATCCCAGGAGGATAATGGAGGAGAAGAGATTGCAGCTTGACCTTCCCCTCAGAAGGTGATTTCTCATTTTCCCTCTCACTGTCTCTGTCTCTCCAGCGAAACTATATACCCTATGGAAAAACAAACAAACAAAAAACAAACTTTAAAGAAAAAAAAAAAGGCAAACTAAAACCCAGTAACTCGTGGCCAAAGATGGAAAGTTAATGGTGTTATTTAACTATCTTGTAATTCATTTAACCAGTGGGCATTTGCCAATTAACACGCAAAAAGTATTAGGTTAGCTGCAAGGGCACAATGATGGATAATTCAAACTAATCCCTTAATATAAATATTACTGCTTTTCCTCTTCAAAACTATTTTCCAAAAGCCACTGAAGGATCCAAGTTATTCAAGATTTATCCTGTTTAACAGATTTGATCTAAAATATGCCTGATGCTCCTATACTGAACAGATATATTTTATTTTGTACTCTTCTTAATACTGATGAAGAAGACGTATAATGATTTTTCAAACTTAATCACGGTATTACCTTTAATCAGCGAGAACATCTTTATACAAGTTTACATAATGTTAAATTATTTTTAAAGTACAGCTATTTTCTTAATGGGGAGCTATTTAGAAATTACAGCAGTTACCCTAAATCCATAACTATATATTCCAATGAAGTACTTAGATAAGAAAACATTTTATACTTACAGTAGAGATTTAAGTTTAAATGGAAAGTACAGATACAGGTAACTTATTTGATATAGGTATTATTGGTAGTGGCTTTAAGTATAGTGTTTATCACTAAAAATGTTTAAAAATGATTTAAGAACATCACTAATAAAAATGTAACTTAAATATAAAGTGAAACTGATAAAATTGAGAGTCCTACAGCAGTGTAAACTACCACAGTCTTACACAGACTCTCCACAACGTACCACAGCCAAAGCCACCAGTCACTCATGAAACACAGAGGATAATTACTGAAATGCGTAAATCTTGCACTTACCAACCTCCACAACACTAGAACAGTTGGGATCTGTGAAGCCATCTGGACACTCGCAGGAAAAGGAATCATCGGCCAATCCTGGCAAACAGACAGCTCCATTTTCACATGGGTTGGGATCACAAATATCACCTGAAGAATAAAGAAACGGAGATTGCCTTTTTTTTCTGTTTTTTGTCTTGAGCACTGAAACATATTAGCTCATATTTCCCACTTGTTGGCTCACTTGATGTTCCTTTGGCAGAATCACTGCACTATTCTGATTTACATCTAAGATGTGAAAGACCCAGACACACCCATACTAGCACACAGGTAGTAAGGCACATACCACTCCACAGGGCTATGGCCACATGGAAGGCCAGGGTTCAGATATCAAGATGGAGATGGCCTGAATACTCTGGGTCCTTGTGCATACCTATAATCCTTGCTGACTTTAAAGGCTGAGGGTGGTGAGGGGGATTACAGCATGACCAGATCATGTCATGGGTGACTATTTTTTTTTCTCTCTCTCTGAACAAATAAAATAATTTTAGAAAAAGATAAGCAAGATACATTTATTTATTTATTTGAGAGGTTTTTGCTATAGGGCACGTGTGCTTGCCAGAAAGACAGAGATAGAGAGACAGAAAGTGAGAAATCACCCCCCGGGAGGGATGGCCATGCCACAATCCCTTCTCCTCCTTTCTCCTCTCGGGATCTTGGGCACTCATGCACATGGGCCTGGTATGAGTTTAAGCCACCAGGTCCGGGACTCGAACAGTGGTCAACTACATGGGAGACCAGTGACATAGCCATTATGCTAATTGCTGGTCCCAGTAAGATCCATTTCAAGCTATGTATTGTTAAGAAAAAGAGTATATAACATGGTAATTTTAAACTGTATGATCACTGCACCTAAAGGTCAATTCAGTTAGGTTCCTTCATTCCAGGTAAATAAAATATACAACTTATTAAAAAAAAAAAAAAGATTAACCTAAATATCTGTGGTAGACTGGTTTCATAAATCACTTAAATAAATATTCTCCATATCCACCCTTCAGCAATGTAACCACAATTCCTTCACTACAAAGGTGGAGTTTATTTCTAGATCCCTAGAATCTGGGCTTTGTCTATGTGACTCCTTCGGCCTGCAGGATATTAACAGACTTAAAGCCAGGAAAGATTTAAAAAGACTGAAAAAGACTGAATTATTCCTTCCTCCTCTCTTAGGATGCTGCTACTAGCATGAGAATAAATTCAAGCAGGCTTACTTGAGAGAGGTGATAGAAACACAGAGGGTAAGAGAAAAGCTGCTACAGTGAAATAAGTTGCACCATAACAAAGACCTAACATATGTGACTCTGGCTTGGTACTAGGGGGCAGACAGATTCTAGAAAAGCAGGGAAGGAATGGCTACAGGAGGCTAGAAAAATGGCTAGCTATGTCAGGCAGAGAGAAAATTGGTAGAACTATCAGCTGAGGTTACTTAGGAGACAAGAAATGTGCTTTATGAACTTTTGATTATGAGTAATGAGATTTCCAGGCAGAGTAGTAAAGCGTCAATTGGTTTTTAATACCTGAATATGATAAGCTACTATAAGAAAAAAGAGCCAATCAGTTTGGACATAAAGAGAAGGAATATAGAGGGACTAGGACTTCTGTTAGAAAATAAAACTATTATAAACCATTTCTCAGCTCCAGCATTTCAAACTAGCGAGTGATCAAACCCATAGCTATGTTAGACCATATACATGGTCTCAATATGCATATTAAATCAAGGATATGGCTATTAGCATTTTTGTGCAAATAGTTCAAATAATTTGTACAGGTAAGGCCTGAAAAACCCTCTAAGCCAAATCAATAGCTTCTAGAAATCTACAGGGTTGTCCTCAAGTAGCTGGCCATACTCAAAGTGGCGCTTATTAGGTCTGAGATGAAATGCAGACTTCAGACAGAATCAGGCGTGTGGCTTTACTGCCCAAAGAAGATGGTAATCAAAATCATTCAAGTCCAGACAGAAGGACTCCACACTTATCACCTCATTTAACCTTACTACCTCTACAAAGGTGTAGAGGCCTTTTCTCCAAATACAGTCACACTGGGGGTTAGGGCTCCAATGTATGAATTATGAGACCCAGTTTGGTCCATAACATGTCCTTTATGCCAGATACATTAGGCATGAGGTTGGAAGATATGTGTAAAGTATATTTCAAGCACCAATTCTGAGCTCAAAGAGGCACATTTTTACAGTACGATGCAGTACTTACAACGCGGCGTTGGGTATAGGAGGGGCAGGAAAGACCCATTCAGTTTGAGCTGGTCAGAGAATGCTTTCAGAGGAGCCTGGGTGTGAGAATAGCTCTTGGGGCTGGGGGTGGGATGACGCTATATTGGGCAGAGGCAGAAGCATGTGGGAAAGCAGAACACACTGACATACTCATTCTTCCAACAAGTCTCCAGTCACAGAGCAAGGCCCTGCAGCAGACATGGTGCTGCAGCCGGATGCAGCCCTGGGTGGCTGGGGGATGTAGGAAGGGCACAGAGAAGTGGCCCAGGTGATATCAGAGAAGCATGCTGCGCTGTGGCATGCTGGACTAAGAAGTTTGGACTTGATCATGTGGTCAGCACTGGGGACCCACTGAAGAGTTTTAAGCAAAGGAAGAAGTTGAATAATTTTCACTGAGAAAGTTCACTTGGGAAGCAGTTGGAATGTAAAAAAAAAAAAAAAAGTACATACAACTTTTAAGAAGGCTGTATGGATAGAAGCCATCTTTTGGGCTAAAAGGGAAAGAACTTTTCCAAAATTTGAAAATGCATCTGTGCCCCCCCCCCACTTCCCAGTATTTTGTATTTCTTAGAAGTTTTATTCTCTTATAAATTGTCTCATAAATTATTTAATCTCTTCTCCAGATTAAGTGCTTTAAAATGCTAGAAAAGTGTGCAACCAGAAGTTGGCATAATGGCTATGTTGCTGGATTCCCATGTAGTCGACTGTGTTTCCAGTCCCGGACCCAGTGGCTTAAACTAATGCCAGGTGTGTGTGCATGTATGCCAAAGATCCCGAGAGGAGAATGGAGGAGAAGGGATTGCAGTGTGGTCATTCGCCCCTGGAGGGGTGATTTCGCACTCTTTGTCGCTCTATTTCTGGCTCACACATGTGCCCTCTAGCAAAAATCTCTCTCTCAAAAAAAAAAAAGAGCTATAAAAATTAAAATACAAACTATTTTTGTCAAATTTATAAATGAAGTCATTAGCCATACTAAGATGGTGAGTAATAAAAGTATATAAGCATTGGAACAGATATGAAAAAGAAAGTCGTGAAATGAATGAATGAATTAATGAATGTGATTTGGAAAACAAAAAATGTTAATATGGCTGAGGCATGACAGTTCAGTTGGGAATGACTAAAAGTTTAGATATGTGAGACCATGGAAGATTAAAAAGTGACATTGTAGCTAGCAGGTGGCATGGTAGTTCTGGCACTGGATTCCCACATGACTGATAGTGGTTTGAGTCTTAGACCTGGACACTTGAAAGTCATAGTGAGCTCATGCATGGGAATGCCCAAAATTCTGAGAAGAGAATGGAGAAAAGGGATTACAATGTGGCCATCTCCTTTTGAGGGGAGGGAGATTGTGATTTCTTACTTTCTGTCTCTCTGTCTCTCTCTGGTGAGCACATGTAGTACTATGTGATCAAAGCCTAAAAAACAAAACAAAACAAAATGAACAAAAAGTGACACTGTAATTTATATGAAGTGTTGATGAGAGTTTTTAACATGAATTCTGAAATTTTTATATGATCAGATCTATGCATTAGGAAGACAGTCCTGGCTTCATTCTTCAGAGTGTGTTCTGAATGGGAAATTGATAGTGGTAAAGATAAGCTTTCTGTCTACTTTTATATAACTAGCTGGGTAGTCACCTACCTTTTATCCTTCTATTCTTTACTATGTAGCTCTCGTATGGCAGACATTGAGTTAAGTTCTGCATATTATTTAATTAAAGGAAGACTTTACCATCAAGAATTACAAAAGGCTAGCCCCATGGAACAACGGCAATGTGTTGCTCACAAGAAGTCAGATCCCACTTGGTGTTCACATTTCAAATCCCTACACAGTCAGTCTTAAACGCTCCAGGCACACTAGTGTCCAAGATCTGACTGGCTGAAAGACTGGAGGAAGGGAACTGCAGCATGACTAAACCCTATAGAGGGTGTTCCCCTCTCTCTTCCCAGTCTCATCTCATGTGCGTGTACACATACTCTACTACAGAAAATTTACTGCCCAAAGAAGATGGTAATCAAAATCATTCAAGTCCAGACAGAAGGACTCCACACTTATCACCTCATTTAACCTTACTACCTCTACAAAGGTGTAGAGGCCTTTTCTCCAAATACAGTCACACTGGGGGTTAGGGCTCCAATGTATGAATTATGAGACCCAGTTTGGTCCATAACATGTCCTTTATGCCAGATACATTAGGCATGAGGTTGGAAGATATGTGTAAAGTATATTTCAAGCACCAATTCTGAGCTCAAAGAGGCACATTTTTACAGTACGATGCAGTACTTACAACGCGGCGTTGGGAATAGGAGGGGCAGGAAAGACCCATTCAGTTTGAGCTGGTCAGAGAATGCTTTCAGAGGAGCCTGGGTGTGAGAATAGCTCTTGGGGCTGGGGGTGGGATGACGCTATATTGGGCAGAGGCAGAAGCATGTGGGAAAGCAGAACACACTGACATACTCATTCTTCCAACAAGTCTCCAGTCACAGAGCAAGGCCCTGCAGCAGACATGGTGCTGCAGCCGGATGCAGCCCTGGGTGGCTGGGGGATGTAGGAAGGGCACAGAGAAGTGGCCCAGGTGATATCAGAGAAGCATGCTGCGCTGTGGCATGCTGGACTAAGAAGTTTGGACTTGATCATGTGGTCAGCACTGGGGACCCACTGAAGAGTTTTAAGCAAAGGAAGAAGTTGAATAATTTTCACTGAGAAAGTTCACTTGGGAAGCAGTTGGAATGTAAAAAAAAAAAAAAAAAAGTACATACAACTTTTAAGAAAGCTGTATGGATAGAAGCCATCTTTTGGGCTAAAAGGGAAAGAACTTTTCCAAAATTTGAAAATGCATCTGTGCCCCCCCCCCACTTCCCAGTAT